CGGGATCAACCGTATTTTTTTTCATCAGCGAGATAGATGCAACGAACGAGACAGGGCGAGAGAGGAAGAGAGAAATTATCAGATCGAATTTGTTTGTTTGTTCATCGACTTGGAATCGCTTAAAATATCATACCCGTTCATCTCCCGCCTTTGTTTCTTCGCAAAAAAAAAAAAAACTGTTTGTTTCGCGAGAAAATAAAATTGTTGGAAAACAATTTTTTAATCCGCGGCGCGGGAAGAATTTAAAAATTTCAAGTCCATCGAAATAATTTTAACTTAAAACCAGTGAACCGGAACTCGAGATGTATATTTACGATGTAATCTACTTTGCGAGGTATTAATCGCGCAGGTTTTTCATCCAAATCAAAGGGAGCGCCGTGATTCCAAGTAGAAAGTAAACCTCTTGCTTCTCTAATAAAATCAATCATGCACCAATAATCACAACCACGCCCCTCTTTGCACAACTCACCCTTTCGTCGCATCTCGCCGGACCGTTTCTTCTAACTCGATAGCTTCTCGAGGACTCCCGACGAGGTCTTGGATAGGTCCAATCGGTAAGGGCGCAGCTCGATAAATCCCTCGGCAATTCCGTTGCGCCGAAAAGAGCCGCGGCCAATCTAGTCCCCAACAGACCCAGCTCGCTCGGTCACTCGGAAAAAGCATCCGACCACTTTGCGGTGTCCCCCTTAGTTTACTTCGTTTTCTCGCTCTTCCTCTCTCAACCCGCCTTCTCGAGAAGACTCGAGGGTGGCCGATTTTCTCGGCTCGCGCGACGATTCAATCGATTCTCTTCGAGATACATTTTTTTTTTTTTTTTTTTCATTTTTTCCCCTTCTTTCTCTTTCTCCCTTATATATCGCTATTTTTGATCGATCATCTTTAAACGATATATTTTTCGACAGAATTCAACTGTGCTGCAATTTTAATAACGCGCGAGCGTTTATGTTTACCTCGAACAAGCTATCAAAAATGCTGATCGACTTTTATTAATTTTTAACTCGCGCATAAAAATTCGAAATGATAAAATAATATTTCATATGAAACTGAGAAAAATGGTTTACTATGGCTTGCCCGTCGATTTTATTTCATCTGCAATATTCCAAATATTATGCGCGTCGCGCGTTATGATTAATAACACGAAAGAAGTTGATATATTTCTACGATGCATATGCAAAATTAATGATATAACTTTATAGATGTCTCTATACAGTTTTGCTCTTTCTCTTTTCCGCTGTGTTTTATTTAAATTAAAACTACGTTTAGACTGGCAGCAATTAATACAAAACTGAACAATTTAATTCGAAACTCTGTTTCTACTTGTGATTCATCATGCCGCTTCGGGTATTATCTTCCACTTCATCTTCACTTCGAAGTACGACAACCACACTCGCCTAACTTTACGAGTACGAGCCGCGTCTCGCCTTACCTACTAAATTCATCTTAATTAAATCAAAAATATCATCCAAGTAAAAGAACTCATTTTTAAGCAAATCAAAAAGAACCTCGAAATCACTATCGATCACTTTTTCCGCAACGAATTTTAATTAAATCACAAATTCCCATCGACGTCTCAAATATTATTTTCACATATACTTGGGATATTTTTCTTTTAACAAATGGTAATAAAACATATTTTTATTTCTATACTAAATATTTTCTTCCAACTTTTTTTTCTATTTATGCATATGTATTATGTAATTTTTTGATTATGCATTTTGTTTCAAACTCTAAACAATATTGTCATTTCGAAATCACTATTGATCACTTTTTCCGCGACGAATTTTAATTAAATCACAAATTCCCATCGACGTCTCAAATATTATTTTCACATATACTTGGGATATTTTTCTTTTAACAGCAAATGGTAATAAAACATATTTTTATTTCTATACTAAATATTTTCTTCCAACTTTTTTTTCTATTTATGCATATGTATTATGTAATTTTTTGATTATGCATTTTGTTTCAAACTCTAAACAATATTGTCATTTCGAAATCACTATTGATCACTTTTTCCGCGACGAATTTTAATTAAATCACAAATTCCCATCGACGTCTCAAATATTATTTTCACATATACTTGGGATATTTTTCTTTTAACACAAATGGTAATAAAACATATTTTTATTTCTATACTAAATATTTTCTTCCAACTTTTTTTTCTATTTATGCATATGTATTATGTAATTTTTTGATTATGCATTTTGTTTCAAACTCTAAACAATATTGTCATTTCGAAATCACTATTGATCACTTTTTCCGCGACGAATTTTAATTAAATCACAAATTCCCATCGACGTCTCAAATATTATTTTCACATATACTTGGGATATTTTTCTTTTAACAGCAAATAGTAATAAAACATTTTTATTTCTATACTAAATATTTTCTTCCAACTTTTTTTTCTATTTATGCATATGTATTATGTAATTTTTTGATTATGCATTTTGTTTCAAACTCTAAACAATATTGTCATTTTTACTGTCAAAATAATAATTTGGAAGAAAAGTGAAAAAACCGCGATTGCTGCGTTTCATCTGCATGTACCTATATATAGCATCCGCAATTCGAGTGCGCGGGCGAAAGAGATGGATACATCTTCCATTTCCGGTATTCTGTCTGAAATAAACGAACACTGCTCGGCCACGGAAAATCCGGCAGTGTCTGATCGAAGATGGGAATTAAATAAAAATCACGCGAACTGTAGATTTGGATCTCGCGGCAGTCGGAAACGAGATGAACGCCCTGCTCGCTCGCTCGCTCGCTCGTTCTGCATGCCAATGAGAGAAACGGGAGAACGAAGGGGTGGAAGAGGGAGGGATGCGGCGAGACGAGCTAGTAGGGTTGCAGTTCCTCATCGCCCGCCACGTCGACGTGGTAGCGTCGCCGAAGCTAAGTCGAGCCAAGAAACGGAACGGAAGGAACCACTGCATTTATTAAACTGAGCGCGCAGACGTGCACCCCCGTTTTACTATCTCGCTCTGCGAACCCCCTCGATTTCTCCGCCTTTCTCTCTTTCTCGCCTTCTGTACACCCCGTTCGTAATTCCTGGCCGCCGTTACCTCGGTGGAATGAGGTCGGTATGTGTAAAATAGTGCCTCGATACGCTCTTCATCACCGAGTCGCTTCTCTTTCCTCGCTCGTTTGATTTTTTTCTTTCGCTTTTCCTCCTCTTCATCTCTTTATTTTACTCTGCTGTGTTCGCTTCTTGTTCATTTTTTCTTCCTTTTCTTTCCTTTTCAATATTTTTCCCTCTACCTATTTTCTTTTTTAATTTATATTTATTTATTTTCTTTTTCTCTCTCACTTCTTCCCATTTCTTTCATTTTTCATTTCTTCCTAGTTTCATTTTTCTTCCGAATCTTGATCTTTTGTCATCTTACTTTTATCCCTCATGTTATATTTTTTTGCTTTTCTACACATCTTCATTTTCTGATTTTTCTCACACATTTCCTCTTCTATACAAAGTTCTACACAAAATGGAAGGGCTAGTATTGCAGTCGGAATTTAGGTTCGTTTCTACGCGAATCATGATCGGTGAAGACCAGCGGAAGTATCGATCGGCCGGCGATCGTGGATGACGAATATGCACCGAGCGTATCGCATCGCTTCCCCTTCCCCTCCCCCCTTCTTCCTTGTGCCGTTCTGCGATGTGTACGGATAGTGCGCGGGGATGCGAGACAATTAATCAACCGGCACAATCGCGCGCACCTACTCGCGCGACTCCGACCGAGCCTCGTGACTGATTCATTATGAGACCTTAATTAAGTCCCCGGACTCTTCCCACTCCACGCATCAGTGCCCTTATCTCTATCCTCCGTTATTCTGCATTCTTTTGTATACGGTACGATGTATATTTGATCTTCCGTTTTTTCACCGAATCCGGACGGTTTCACCCGCGACTTTGAAGGAAAGAATTTCTCGGTAAATTTAAATTTTTAATATTTTAGTATTTATGGAGGAAAATTGGGTGTAATCGCTGGGGAAGATCTTATTAAATTAATTAACATGTTCGGGGCAAGTGAAGATTCAAATATTTTTAATGAACTTCCCAGGTAGAAATTTTGTTTCTAGAAGTATAATCAGGGCTCCATATATTCTTTTAAAGATATTTCTGGACTCCAGGTGAAAAATCTAACTAGAACCTGGGTAAAGTTTGGGACGCCTATAAATCGTACAGGTCCTATCGCAGAATCCGGGTGGACTCAAATTTACGCCCAGAATTTGTAGAAAAATAATGTGGAATCTAACTAGGACCTATAATTTTTTTCAAATATTTGCTTGATTTGTATTATAATATTTCTATAAGCTAGATTATTCGATCCTATATAGTTTCATATTTATTCTAATTTGGGAAAAATATATCAGTGGCAATCTAGAACCCATGCAGATTTTTCCGATTATTTTTTTCCTCGGTAAAATAAAGGTAAATTTCTAGGGTGTATTCTGGACAGATATTTCAAACTGCATTTTTGTTACCTGTATTTAATCTCGGCAAATCGAGGCAGAAAGACAAGATTATCGAGTAGAGCCAATTTAAAAATTACACATTTACATATTATAAATGTAGAAAAATGTATGTCCACGAGAGGATTAGAAAGGGTGGAAACGAGCCCAGTCCAGGACTCGGCCTTTATCTTATCACGCGCCGGATGTGGCCGTGCCTTCCGACGTGGGATTCTTTATTGGGCAGTTAGACCCCTCTGATAAAAACGCGCCACTTTACGGTTCCATACTAATGGAATTTCTCGGGCGCATTTTCATTAATTTCACGCGCGAGCGAGTAAAGGTTAATTATTATTGCGGCCTGAAATTTTTGAAGTTCGCATTAATCCGGGTAGACACGCTCTCAAGTATATCGAGTGCTCTTGCGATCAAAACCCACCAAAGTCGAGTCGAGTGAGTGCTTTTTCGAGAAACAATACGTTTTCATCCAGCCCTTTTTCCGATTAATGTGTCTCCGTCAATAAGATTAATCGATGATACTCTCGATTTTTCAGCACGCTGAGGTGGAGGATGGAAGAGCTGGAGACGCTGGAGAGCACGGAGTGCCCGGAGTGCCCGGGCCGCCCCCTGAGTTCCGGTTGCCGCCACCTCCTCGGCCACCCTTCCTCACCGAGGGCACCTTCTGCTCGGAATCGCCCCTCGCCGAGCTCGAAGACTGCGTTGCCATCCCGGTGAGTGTTCTCGATTATTTCTTTTTCTTCAATTATGCAATTCGATTTACGGAGTGCTGCCCTGATAAGGGCTGATTATATTATATCGCCGACTCTCTGAGTCTCTGGAAATCTCTCATTTAACTTTCCGATCCGACCTCAATCGAGAGAGAGAGTTTCTACGTTTGCAAGACATATCTCTATTATAATATTTGACTAAGATTTCTTGGAAATCAAGGGAAACGCCAAGAATGTTAATCAGTACAAGCAACGATCTCTTCTTGGAAAGAACATTTTCTCTCCATTTTATCTATAATATGAATAAGCGCGCTTTAATATTATGTTTATACATAATCAGAGATAAGCACAAAATCGTTTTTAAAGAAAGAAATTAAAATATTTATGCATCTCTCTATTTCTTTTATTAGTGTTATAAATGGTTAAATCAGGAAAAATTATTTATTTACGTGTTAATTAAAATCTTATTTGAAATATATGTTCACTTGATTTTATGAATCAAAAATAAATATTTCAAATATGCATTTTTTCTCTCTTTTAGACACTTCGAGTAATCGATTAAAATGTGGACAGCAAAATATTTTTATATTTATTTTCATTATTTTGTGATTTATTTTATTTAGTATTCTCTTATAATTTACATTTTTTCAAATTTAATTTATATTAATATTTAAAATTATTAAATCAAAAGAGTAGTTTTTGTTGTTATTTAACATTCAGATGATGGATATACTTTGAAATTAAATGCATATTTGTTTTTTTTCTTTTCTAATGATTTACCTGATTAAATGACATTATATTACAAGAAATAATATCTAGTATGCAGCTTTAATAAAACTTTAAAAATATACATTTCAAATATTACAATTTTTATATAATTTTGTTTAATTATTATTTCGTAATTTCTCAAATCAATGTTTCCTGTACATATATTTGTATCTGTTATATAATTTCTTTCTCGTCGAGAAATCTTTCAAACTTTAAAATTATTCAAACGGCATTTACAAATGCAGTTCACCTCTCTATGCACGTGATATTCCCAGAACAGATTACTCGTTTTATTTGAATCGTTTTGACGGGGGTGGTCTTTTTCTCGGCACACGAGCGATACTTTATTTTGTCTGAGGGGGCGTGTTGGATAGTTGGAACGCGCGCCATTCGGTGGCCCGAACTAATCTGCAAATCGCCTTTCGACGGCACTCGTCGAACGAAACGCGCTCGCTAATTCCTCGCTACTTTCAGAGGTATACTCCGTAACTAACTCCGTAATTCAGCCTTCTTTCCGCGGCTTATATCGATCTTTTCGTATACGTCGGGTCGATACGCGCATTCGAGACGCGGAGGCAGAGTTTATCGCTTTTGTCGTTCGGAGAATATTTCCGCGCGCCGTATTCATGAGCGGAATACCGGAATTCGAAGATCGATGGTCGGAAGTTCTGCGAATATACCCGCGGCTTGGAAAATATATCGCTCGAGTTTCACGATTATTAAAATGCCGGCGAAAAAAACGGCGAAAAGTTTGAGAAGGGTCGACCGCGAGTACTTAGCCGCGAGAAAAATTATTGGAAATGTGGTTTCTTGAAGATTCTTCAAGATCCGATCTCTTATTTCTTCCGTGTTTCTAGATGCACGCACATTTATGACTGACGTATTATATAATGTGTGTAAAAATATAATAAACAAAATTGGAATACAATAGTATATTGTGTATCAAGTGCGGAAAGTTGACAATTGGTCACGAGTGCGAGGGATGAACGACCATCCCACACGAGTGAACAATTGTCAATTCGCACGTGATACACATACTATTTTGTATTACAAGTGCAGGCAAAGTGGCTTTGTGCGCGTTTTCTGTACGCGAGGCGGCCGATCGCACGCCGCCATCTTGCGACGGCACGGTGCGGGAATAGCCGCGTTCAAAGTCATTGTCCACGGCTGAAGCCGTGGGCAATGACTTTGAATGCGGCTTATTTCACTCACCGCGTCGCCGCTAGATGACGGCGTGGGAAATCGGCCGCTTTCCGCACAGAAAATACGCACACAAAGTGCCACTTTGCCTGCACGTGTAATACAAAAAATTATAATCGTTACAATACATATACATATACGCATGTATTAAATTTATTCTAACTGAATATGTTTATGAATGTGGAGATGAAATTGCCATAAATTGCCATGTTAATGTGATTAGTATCACATTTATTTGAATGAACGTAGCGAACCGAATTTGCATTTGACGGCTTATACCGGCGCGTTGAATTTTGATCATGTCCGACACTATCGCGATTTCGAGGGCGTTAAAGTTTTCTAATTGTCCGATACGCGCGGGTAACGTCTTTTCTTCCTCCTCGCCGCGGCGGAAAGAGTCGGTCGACGATGAGATTCAGGATCGGACGGAAAGAGGCATGAGTCCTGTAAGAAATTCGCCGCCAAGTAGCGGGCGTTTAATTGCAATTACAATCGCAGAAGCTCGTCAAAGCGCTCCTTTTCCCCCGCGGAGGAGATAAATTGGATATCCTGCTGTTATCTCTTTTGATCCGCCGAGTACGCGCAAGAACTGTCCTGAATAATAGAGTATCATGGTTGAACGGGAGATGAAGGGACCAGGAAGAAAGGAGGGACAAAAAAGGCGCGCACTAGGCATCGGGGCTGAGAGAGAGAGAGAGAGTTAATGTAAAATACATAAACGGAGCACTCGAGCAATTAAAGCAATCAGCATTTGCCGAGATTTTTCCCCGTCTTGTCTCAAAGCGTCCCTTTCCTTTCCCTTCTCCCGGCAACTTCTTTAAATCTTCCCGTTATCAGAGCGTGTCTCTCGCGTAATATGTAAAAAAAAACTTTGTATTTCTTCAGCAATTTATTGCTCGTCACGCTAGAGAGCTTTTATTGAGCGTCCATTGGATGTTATTCCGGAGATATTGTTATATACGTTTCCAATAGCACGGATGTAAATCTGGTTTGTTCTTCACTCTAGCTCTAATAATTTGTCGAGCGTATTCGCGCGCACGCGATAGTAACGCGTTAATTAATTGCGATATAACTGTAACGATATTAATTTCAATGGTATATATATATATATATAACGCGCGAATTGGTCTTTTTTCTCCTTTTATCGGATTTTAAGTAAATAGAGTATAACACGCGTCGAACGTGATCAATTCTTATTTCGTCCTACTTCTTTCCTCCCTTTGAAAATTCTATGCCACAGGAACGAGTATAAATGTCCAGTTATCGTATTGCGAATGTGATGCTTTTAAACGACGCGTGAAATTGAGTGGATTAAAGCAAACGCGAAAGAAATGTTAAATATTAAATAAAATGCAGCGCATCGCGGCAAATCTCATACATAAATATATACATGTATTAAATAAAAATATATATGTGCCTGTGTGTATTTGTACACGGTAGATCGAAGATTCCGCAGCGTTGTAATATTTTCTTGTTCTAATATTTACCGGATGTACGTATACACCGTACGGTGCAGCTTCCTTGACCCGTTCGCGTGTGATCTATATGGCACGACCGGACGTGAATGCAGCGCATCGCACGGATGGGAAAAGAATTCCAATTAAAGTGCGTCACGCGATTCTGGCCGGAACTCTCTCCTCGACTTCTTCTCACGTACGGTAACTTGACAGTGACGCAACCTGAGTCTTTCGATTCTTCGCCGTAATGTAACTGCATACTATTACATTTGAAATATCTCATCTATCGCGATATGCAATATTCTTTATTATGAAATATGTATACCGAAAATATATATAATTTTTTAATAATAACAGGACGCTAAACTAACGCGGGAAACGTAACAACTGTTTTTTGATTAAAATACCGTAATTGTACGGGCGGTCGAAGGTTACTCGATTCGATGGAGTGAGAAATAACAATAGTCGCGGAAATCCGGTCGAGAAGGATGAAAATTCTCTACGGCGCGAAACTCGGTAAATGTAAGACACGTTACGCGTCTTATCGTAGGTTAAATCGCGCGCGATAAAGAGCACTCTAGACAGGCAGCTTACAAGTAAACGGTGGTAAGAATAATCGCCTCGGGACCGATGTAAATAAAGGAGAGAGAGAGTGAGAGGCAAGTCGACCAAGCGCGAATATGGTCGACGAGAGAGTTGCTGTTTCAGTATTGTCTCTCTAAAGCGGACGTTAAAAAAGAAAGCGCCATCTACTTTCCTCGTCGTTCTCGTCGACCATCTTCGCGCCTTCTCCATAATCCTCCTCCTGCACGGACTGACCCGGGATAAAAACGCTTGCACGACTATTAATAGGGAACATGTGCTCCGACCTTGTCGCCTCGACCCGTTATCGCCGCGCGATTTTACATCATTACGGGTAATTGGAGACACGTCTCTTGCCGCTCCGAGAATGTATCTCCATGGGAAGATATATTTCGGGAAGTTAACACCGCGTGTACTCGAAATAGCCCGGCTAAATAGGTTACATTACATCTTTCTGCAGAGCCATTACATACGGATCACTTTCCGAAGCGTCGGAAAGACCTCGCAGAATTTTAATCGCCCGCTTCGAAATCCGTATAATAATTCAAGGAATTTCGGAGTCTTGTTCATGCCCGCCCGAAATTTTCTGAGAAACACATTGTCAAATATTTACTTCTCGCGAAGTGGAATTTTTCTTAAAAATCTGTCGCTCGAAAATTGATTACTGATATGAAAAACTCTCTCGTTCTCGTGATCTATTTATAGGGGCTCCTATATCTTCAACCTTAAGCTCGACATCTTCATTTTCTTCACAAATAAGTAAAATACGCGCTTCGACGTTCCAAATACATTTATTAAGTTAATTGAATTTAAACGCCATTGTTTCGCTGACTGTTATCGAGATATATGTCCCCCATTACTTAGCGTCGTTAATATATCGTTTCCTAAATGCAGTATTGCTAGATACTACATCATTGACTATTCGTAACTACCGGACGCGCAATTAGCGTATCGGATGATTAATATCGCTGTCGCTGCAGTAGAAGGAGCAAATAC